CCAGGACCTACTAGACCCGGGCGTCCTTCAAAAGTTTCAACGAAGCCTACTAGACCTGGATGTTTTCAAGACCAGGGCATGAGATGACCGAGACATTCTAAAAAGAATTCCTAAGAGAGGGCCAAGCAAGAAAACAACCATGCAAGTCTAGCCAGGCAATTTCAGAGGAGGACCAAGCAAGAAAACAACCATGCAAGTCTAACCAGTCAACTTCAAAGGGGGACCAGGAAGGAAAATAACCATGCAAAAAATTTAACCATTCAAGAAGTTCAACCAAGCACAAAGGAATGGGACTAGACCATGAAAGCCTCCTTAATTGGTGACCCTTCCACCCTTGGGACGGGTTGGAAAGAAGAGTGGCCAACCTCTTTGTCAGGGAGCTGGACTGGAACCTTGGGTGACTTAACCCCCTCACTCCGGAGGTGCTTTTGGAAGGGTGTGCACCGGGCACTTGACCGGGTACTCTAGGAGGACTAGGAGGACTTACATGGTAGAAGTCTAAAAAAAAAGTAGACCGGTTAATTCTTTAGAGTTAACATTTGGATTTCCTAATAATTCAAAAGTGAGAGGTCAAAGAGGAAGACTTCACGATTTCAAAAGTGACAGGTCCAAGAGGAAGACTTGACGATTTCAAAAGTGAGAGGTCAAAGAGGAAGACTTCACGATTTCAAAAGTGACAGGTCCAAGAGGAAGACTTGACAATTTCAAAAGTGAGAGGTTAAAGAGGAAGACTTGACGATTTCAAATGTGACAGGTGAAAGAGGAAGACTTGATGATTTCAAAAGTGGCAGGTCCGAGAGGAAGGCTTGATAATCTCAAAAGTGACAGGTCTGAGAGGAGGACTTTATGATTACAAAAGTGACAGGTCCAAGAGGAAGACTTGATAATTTCAAAAGTGACATGTCTGATGATCTCCAAAGTGCCAGGTCTGATGATCTCCAAAGTGCCAGGTCTGACGATCTCCAAAGTGCCAGGTCTGATGAACCCCAAAGCGCCAGGTGTGATGAACTCCAAAGTGATACGTGTGATGATCCGCAAAGTGCTAGGTCTGAGGAGCCCCAAAGTGCCAGGTTAGAAGAAAGAAATGATACCCAAAACTTCATTTTTCGATCAAGGGAAAGGCTTGATTATTTCAAGAAAGGATAGGTCAAGAGAAAGGCTGGATTATTTCAAAGAAGGACAGGTCATGAGAATGACTTGATGATTTCAAAGAAAGACAAGTCATGTGAATGACTTGATGATTTCAAAGAAGGACAGGTCATGAGAATGACTTGATGATTTCAAAGAAGGACAGGTCATGGTAATGACTTGATGATTTCAAAGAAGGACATGTCATGGGAAAGATTTGATGATTTCAAAGAAGGTCAGGTCATGGGAATGGCTTGACGATTTCAAACAAGGACAGGTCATGGGAATGGCTTAACAATTTCAAAAAAGGACAGGTCATGGGAATGACTTGATGATTTCAAAGAAAGACAGGTCATGGGAATGACTTGATGATTTCAAAAGGACAGGTCATGTGAGGGACTTGGTGATTCAAAAGGACAGGTCATGAGAGAGACCTGGTGATTCAAAAGGACAGGTCATGAGAGAAGACTTGTTGAATTCAAAGGTGATGGGTTAACATAAGTATACTTCCCGCCCTTGATGACTTCCTCACAAGGCCGGTAAGTGGAGGACTTCTTGATGGGTATATCCCTATACCCGACCCGGACAACCGAAAGGGACAGGTCAAAATATGACCGGTCACTTTTATC